ATAATAATGACGAAGTAATAATTATAATTATAATATGTTATGTATAATATTACTTAAGTTTTTTTAGAATATCATAGCATTGTTATGATAACTAGTAAATTATAAATGTTATTATCATTATTATGTGAAATCTAGAAAAAAATAATTTAGATGTTATTCATAGTAAAAGTATACGCTGTCTGTCGGAATTTCAATTAAAATGAAAGAAACACGATGTCCTTAGAATTTTCTTCTAAAAATTTGACTTGCATGTAAATGACATAATTGAAATGGATAGACATTAAAGACAAATTGTCTACGGAACTCCGTTTCCACTATAAATAATATAACATGCGTATAGACAGTGGCTATTGTTACAGTTGGACAATGTTTTGTTTTTTTAGTCATATTACAGAATTTTTTTTTATTGAAGAAGACGACTTTTAATTATATCGTTTAGAACAATCGAAAATAGTTTTTGCTGAAACAAAACTTCGCCCTAGTTTAGGTACTCAGTGTGGCTGAATATGGTCATTGACAGCGGTAATAAAAATTATTGTCCATTTTTTTCGCTATAGAATATCAAATCATTAGCAATATTTTTATGAGCACGTTATACTTTTAACGCTTGACTAATTTTCCATTTTTTTATGTGTATAGAATTGTTTTCGAAATAACAAATCGAATAATATATTTATAATAATATAATAAAATATTATGTATATAGTAAATAAGTGACGAAAAATCACGAAAGAAAAAGTAAAGACACGATAGATTAGTTAATCAAATGATAATTTGCTACTAATGAATATCTAGAAGATTAAATCACAGTTAAGGTACTAGATGAGTGAATCGATTTATATTTAATAATAAGTATTTCAGTCCTTATCTATTTATTTTTTATTATTGCTACGTCTGCAATAATATTATAATAAATCCTGAAGTTAAAAAATAACTAAGATAAAAAATTAAAATAATATAAAACGCTTATAGGAACGATCGTTATTGCAGTAATACAAAAAATTATGCACTATTGCAGTGATTTCATCTGGCGCCACAAAAATCTATCAGTTTCATAAAAAAATTAACGGAACCAATTATATTAAAATCTCATAAACATTAAACTTGCCTATTGGCTTAGTTGAGAACAGTTATTGTCGGTGTTATATTTTACTGTCGTTACTGTTATTATTGTAACATATGTCATTTCGACTTAAGAATTTGTTAATAGATACTTGTATAAAATACCATTTTGTAATAACCAGTTACAACATTGTGTTTTTTGTAATATTTATTTACAATAAAAATAAGCAAAGGCTTCTATTGATTATAATAGAGATATGTTAAAAGACTACTATTAACGGGAAACAGTGTTCTAGACGTTATTATAGTTTACAGTTTATTAATGTTGTAATGTCATGCTTTTCATAAAATCGTCAATCATAAATGAATAACAAATATACATCTTTGAATTATTAAGAATCAATACCGTTCAATGAAGGTTGTATTTATTGTGTTACCCTGACCTCGATTAAATTTGTAAGAAAAAATACACAAACGAGGGAACCAATTTTTTTAATTCTATAGTTTGAAATATAAAAATACATCAAATAATATCAAATATTACTGTTTTATCAAACCGTATTCAATCTAAAGCTTATTTCTATTTTTCTTGAATTGTTAAAAAAAATATTAAATAATGTTGCCACAAACAGTCTGAAGAAACAAATAATTCCAAATCGAATATAATATATTTTTTAATGGTATGTGCGTAATTTATAGTTTAATTAATATACGTTATCAAACGTTAACCAAAAAGGCATTAACCTCTTTAAAAGTATAATTTTATAGTTATAATAGAAATACTAAATAAAGACGAACCAATAGTATATACAATCAAACTCAAAATTGACATAATTATTTATTTTAAATAAACATAATTGAAAAAAGTGACTTGTTTATATGTCCAAACAAAATCACAACAATTTTGTAAATTCAAATTACTATGGTAATTAATATATTTTTTTTATTATTGTCATTACCAAAAACTCAGAGCTAGTTTACACGACTCGTTTTTACTTTTGTAAATTTTGAAATCAAATCAATAATATGAAAGATTTATTCGATAATTTGGACTTCTTAAATACATCTGAAATAGATCCATCTACAATTCTGTTACGGTTCTATAAGTGTTTTTGGTGAATAGCAAATTTTCTGGTCGACTTATATTACATTTTGATGAAGCAAAATATGTATACATGGATTTTAATATGATACCAATGAAAAGTAATTAATGTACGCCATTTGCTTATGGAATCTCGTTTTGTGATGCCACCGGCCGCCAATATCTTAAAACAAATAGTCAAGAAACGTCCGACGAATCGGTCGACTTTGTAGTAAACACAAGTGAGGATTCCATTAGTCAACAAGATTTTTATGATAATCAAACGGTTAATAACATTCATGGAGATATTTCAAATCAAAATGTCATAATGAACGTACAAGAATTGGTTGCTGAAATTAAGACTCCATTAGAGAACTTGCCATTAACGTCGATGAACACTTATCAATAATTTTCTATATTACCTGTTTCACTGGACAACTTATGGCGCTTTTATCATAAAACGACCTGATATAATGACTTATTAATAATAATGACTTATTGGAACGACGGTTGAGTAACTACGACTGTTGGTCTTGCAGAAACTAAGAATGTCATTAGAAGTGAATCTTTTAATGAATGTAAAATTTACGTTTACACTCTAGACGTATAACTTCGTTGAAAACGCCTTTTAAAAGTGTGTTTGTTAATGCGTTTATTTATCGGTTTAGCCGCGAACAAAATTCTCAAACGTACTATAGTTTGATATGAAATCAATAGAGACTTGCCTCCGTCATTTAAGGATTTGATAAAACTAAACAACAATTATCTGATTGATAAATATGAGCCAATATTTAATTCAGTTGACCATTCAGTTATTCGGCTTGGCAATTTAATTAAAAATGCCAACACAAACTTGGTAATTAAAATTAATCACTTGGGACTAATATTATTTAAAATTCAAACTATTTAAAAAATATTATTAATTTAAAACTAAAAAATAATAAAATAAATAAATACGTATGTGTTTAGGGTTGATAATTGTAACATCTTTCACAAAATACGTATTCGCGATTTTTTAGTAATTTTTTTTTATGGATTTTGAGTTAAAAATTGTAATATAGTTTTAATTTTAAACAATATACTTACTTAAAATTTTTGTGCGTATTTCTATTTTCTTATTTTTCTTTTTTGAATTTTCTTTTTTTTTTTGCTATAAATTATTCATTTTTATATTTTATTAATAAAATTTTACTATTTTCGTACAACAATAGTTAATTTTTATTTTTAATAGTTAACAACCCAATAATAGACCAATTTAATTACAATTACGTTGCTCAAATATTTTGAGTAACGTTAAGTTAAATTTTACTTTACATCACAAAATGCATGTTATGTGACATAAGTAATGGGATCTAAGTAATAAAACAAAACATTTTTAAATTATAAACGTCTATGAGATTTTCACGACTAACGCAGGCACGATTTAGTATCGTTTGTTATCCTATAAATAATATCAAATGACAAACATCATACTTCTATTACTTTATTAGAGTATTATAAAAATGATTTTATTGACTATAATAAAATAATGCGATCGTCTTGGTTTGACCTAAATACTATGCAACCATATTTGCTGTCAATATAATTCCAAGAAAGTAAAATTATACAATGCAACTCTCGTTATACGGAAAAAATGTATTTTTTTCATTAAAAATAAATGATAAATATTATTAGTAAAATGAATCAAAACATAAATTATTCAAAATTGTATATATAGAAATTTAATAAAACTTCAGTTTTTAAGAGACAAAAATTTAATTAAATGTTGCTCAAATTGGTCTCTTTATTTTAAGATATTTAAAATGCTCACTATCATTAAAGTTATTTAATATATACAATTTATAAAATAGTATTCATTAAAAATATACACGAAATATCTAGAGTTTCTTTATAAAGTTCATAAAATTAATACGATTAGCAAAATTTTAATCTATCATAAAAACTATACCAAATAATATAATATTCATATTTAATTAATAAAAAATTTTAATATTGATTTTTAGAATTTTTAAAACAAAAAATTATTTAAAATGAAAATTTTTTTTTAACAGAAATAATAACTATATTTCTTTTATAAAAACAATTATGGAACACATGACAAAAATATGTCTTGAAAAAAATATATCATTTAAAAAAAACTAAATTAATTATTTTAATTTTGCAATATTAATAAGTCAAAACCAATAAAAAAAATGTTTTTTTTATGTTTTCATATATCTAACAATAAAATGATTAATTTTCAACAGTAACCTCTGTATATTTCATAATATATATTAATTTATATCTTATTGAACAATTTTCAAAACATAAAGTACATCAGGACGCTCTTCGGTGATTTACTATATAATAATGAATCTTGAAGTTTCCAGAAACAAGTAATTCTATTTAAGAAGTACGTTTTAGAAAGAACTCAATAAATTTACTACTCTTTCCCCAGTGTGTTTCAATCAGTATAATATTACCCGTAAATATTGTTAACTTACGTAATAATTTAATGAATTATAAATAAAAATCCGACTATGCGAATGTAAAAATTGAAATGGAAAAAATAGTTTTATTTTATTTACATCACAAACGTTCAACTAAATATTAATTATAGTTTTCTACACTAACGTGTAAAGTTATTTACAATTTAACATAGACGACAGATAAAAAAAAATGCCTCAGAAATCATCTATCGGATTGAACTCTTAAAAAAAATCGACACCGTATTGCCAGTGTTATTAAAACATTAGTAAAACGGGTAGGGAAAAATGTAACAAAATTAAAACGCGTGTAATGCAGTGGCGTTGGCCAACCAGGTGGGAGGGTCCGAACGCTATCACCGGCTGTAAGTGCACTGCTACAATTCAGATGAGGCTCTCGGTACAGTCGTTCGCCGACAATATTGCCGAACACGCGGTTGTTTTGAAAAATATTTGCCGGTTCGCTATCGACCTCAGTTAATCAGCCTTCGTTATCATCAGCGAACCGCCAGCCTATTGTTTTTAATCAGACGTGATCGTGCATTTGTCGAATTAAATTATACATAATAAATATCGAAATATTTTTGTTTTAATTTATACGTCGCAGTTTGGCTAACTGTATCTCCTTGACAACTACCCACAGCAAGTGAGTACACACAATTGATGCTGTATTTATTTGGTTTATGTATGTAAAATATTTTTCATTTAAATGAAACAATAAAATTATATCCAACTAAAGTTCGTTGAATAAAATTTCGTAGCTAATTAATAGAGTATATTTAATGTTCACGTGGTATATTTTCCATAATGTTTAGGTGGCAATATGACGTTTTGATTGGATAGTTTTTTTAGTTGAGTATTTTCACCTTTTAGCGATGAACCCAATTTATGTAATTTTTGAGTTATTTATCAATTATATTAAAAATATTCAACTGTGTACAGTAGTACCAATTTTGTTTCTATTGGTAGTTTAGTTCAGTCTCCTAAAAAATAGCCAATTTTAACTTGACCACATTCTCACTAAAACCATAGAAATAATATCACTTTAAAAGCTTATACTATGATTTATTATGTACTTCATGTTAATGTTAATCGATTTTACTTAGTCATAATTATCTTAAAACTATAAAAACTATAAAACTATAACAACATTCCATCATTAAGTTGAGCAAGTATAATAAATTTTTATTTTTTTAAGCACAATAAGATACTTGACTTCCGAAATATCTAAATGCTTCTTTAAATTGAATAGTATTTACATCAGATAACTATGAAAAAAAAATTAGCTTTAATTTGAATATCGAGTCGGACGTATTCTCATAAATTTGATAATCGTAAAGGACATACCGAACTCTGTGCTTGATAACGTACAAGCACGTGAATTGCCTATCCGGAACCCCTTAAATTAGCCTATTTTTTAAATAAACAATTGAGATGGCTAATAAATGTTACTGCAAGAAAAAAGTTTTATCGCGGTCGAGGCGAATCATCGGATTCTTTACGTTGATACTTAAATCATAATTGCATTATATAGTATTTGTTGATGTTTTATTTTTTTGTTCTCCTGTTAGAAATCAAAACAAATTCTAAATGAAATGTTTTCTCTCGGGTGATATACTTTATTAATAATCCTAATCTAGGTGTTATCTCTTCAACAGATTTGTAGGCCATTTTTTCTCGTCCGATATTAATCATAATAGAGTCATTAAACATTACACTTTCTACGATTTAAATGGGGATTAAAACGCGAGAAAGTAAACGTTGGGCGCGAGCCAAGCGGCTTGTGTATTGGTTTTGGGTCATTAAATAAAGGTTTCCAAGAGATGTACACGGCGTTAATGAATTTGTATCTCATTACACGCTGTTCTTGATAATGCGAGTATAAAAAAATAAATAACGTTACGTATGCCTGTGTATTAATAACGAAAAGAGCAACGTCGGCAACATAACCAAGTGCATTAATTCAACAAGTACGTCATTGGACAATTTTCCTACGTTCTTATCGATAGATTATTGCTGTTTTGCCGACATTACTCTGTACTAATAATTTCTCAACACGGAAATCATGTTTCGATATTCCCTATGTAAACGGAACAGACCATGAAAGAAAAGGACATGGAAAATTTGTCAGCCACGCTCGCTTTGCGTGGGACCTCACGCGTCTGTTTGTACTCCTAGTAAAAAACAAGTACGCATTGACCCCTGCAATGTTAACCTTTGGGTACCGACTTTCCGTCTGTATTTGAAAAATGTCTATAATTACCTTGCCAACGATTTTGTCGTTCAGGAAGCTGAAGAACTTACCGAGAACGAAATTCTCAAGTAGGTCAACATATTCAAATTACCGGCGACTTCATTTGAATTATCAACAGTCGCATAAGTATCGTTGTCGTTGATAAAATTTCAATTTTATTGAAACGGTTCTTTCGCGTGGACCTCGAAATTCAATTTTTTAGTTTCGTATATTTTACGGCGTTCGAATCACTTCGCATTCGGTCACGGCGAATCGCGTGTAATCTAAACGTTTACCAATTGAAATCCGGTTGCTGCCAGCAAATCGTTCGTTCGATTATAGGAATTAAATTATGTGGACTGAAAAAAAATCAATTTGTTCACGTATCGCGTTCATAATAACAATAATAATAATACAAAAACGTACTGTTGTCAGATAATTACATTCGATTTGTCTGTTAATATCTTATTACCTGCACGTTTAATCTCTGATTCTGTTTTGTTATATTTTATGAAAAAAAATATCACTCCATTATAACTTATTAGACGACACGTGTTTGAATGTAAACTTCGTTTTTCTCTCAATTTTTCACGTTTTCAGTTGACATGTAAAAATTGAAAAAATTTTATGTTTGTCCAGATCTAATGGTTCATTTTATTATATTTACTTCCCCTGCTTAACTTATTTTGAAGTCAAGTCGTACCGATAGCAACCGTTTGACACGTCGAAAAATATACTATTACTATTTTTATATTTACTCGATATTTTTAATCTTACAAAAATTTATTATAATCACTACACTGAATACCGTGTTATACGCGCGTTTTCATTTTGTATCGAAAATCAAATGACAACAATCCGAATGACGTATTGTAATAAAAATGTACCGGTTTTTTTTTTTTGTGTCGTCCACTGTTTATATTACACAGTTGGTTAATATTAAAATATGTATTCATATATCTAACTTGGTGCCTTTTTTATGAACACACTATTAAAATATTTACATTTTACCAGAAATATTCAATATTCATTTTTTAAATTAAAAATACTCAAGCGTTTCAGTAAAAAACTATTTTACACTCTAAATATTTGCATCCATCTATTAACATTTATGTACCGAAAATTTAAAAAATCTTGATAAATCTCATTAAAATCATTTACATTTATGTATGAATTATATTACTCTAAAAACTCAATTACTCGGTATGCATTTCCGGTTTGTAAGTCTTAACACGGTTTTTACCAAATCACAACAATAACTTTTAAACAAGTTAATTATTAAGTTCGTTTTTATTTACACGGATATTTATTACTTACAAGTGTTTTGATACTGGCATAACATTATGCAGATAATTAGCATTATGCTAATTGGTAAACCTACGTCGTTTACCGAAGTTAATTTATTTCACAGGTATTAAAATTTGTCAAATGTGATACATGTTTTCTATGTATTTCTCTTAAAACTTTCTAGTTTCTTACAACACTTGATAAACATTTATATATAGAACTGAAGTATAATCATAATTAAACTCATTAAAAACTAGATATTTGTTACACAAGTCATAAATAAAACTGATAATTGAATAATCGTTGATGTTTTCAATAACATTATTATTTTGTTTGGAAATGAAAAATTTCTTAAAATTAAGTCGTTGACATGTTGAAAAATCCCTCTAGTTTATGATTAATTGCTTATGAAAAATGACTATTAATGGCGTCGAAGAAACAATATTTATTATATCCTATCTATAATTTTTTTTATATTAAAATAAATAGTTAAAAATAACTGTATATACATATAATATCTCATTAATCTTTTTGTCTAGCAACAACGTAACTAATTACTGTCAAACAATATATCGTCAAATTTATATTAGTCAAAATGTCTTAAAAATTGTTAAGCATCGTATTTTATTACTAAATAAGTTTTTAAAATAATATAATAGTACGAAGTGCTTAAAGAAGATTTTTAATAAGGTTTTCACAACAGACAATTATTAAGTTGATATGATAAACGTTGAAGTAAGTAATCAATTAACTAATAAATACAAAGGAAATTTTAAGAACTATAGTGACCTCCAAGCATTTGAGAAGAAAGCAAATGTTTTGAAAAAGGTGCTGTCAAAATAACAAGATAAAATGCAAAATTATTTGCGTGAGATAAAAAAACTTAAGGCGTCACAAAAGATTAATAAGATACTATTCCTAAAAGAAAGAAGAAACATCCATTTCAGTAAGGTATATCTGCTCGTCGAATAAAAATGTTTGAAAAGAAAATAATCGAAACGAAACGAAATAATTGTGCTAATTGAATTGAAAATGTAAATAATTTAGAATAACAGATTTGAAAATATTTTATTTATTTACAAATATTATAATATAAAATTTGTTTTTTTTTATATAATAGTTATTAGTTTAGTATTCTAATTAACAGTTAAGTAATACTTTGTTGTAATGAACAATAATACATAATAATTAAAATGATATTATAAAAAATGTGATATTATTTTATTACATTTAAAAATTTAAATAAAGTCACTATGTTACATTACATTAAATTTAAAATTAATTTAAATAAATAATTAATTATTTATTTTTTATATCTAAATAATCGTTTTTACTAATTAGTAATAATTACAAAAAACTAGAGGTGATAGAAAAAATGTAATTACGGATTTGAAATAAGCGCAAAAATTTATTTAGAAAAAGTATAATTTTCTCTATTGAAAATTCCTTGTAGATCAGTTTAGACCAAATTATTTTCTGAAATGTTTGCATCAAGTTCTTAATTTTTTATAGACGTTTGCTAATAAAGTAACGAAATATGCAACTGCTTTATAATTGTTTAATAGTTTCTCCGTAAAATGTACAATAGTAAATTATTGAATATCAATTCGGTTTTAAAATACCGTTTTTTTATTGGTAGATCTTTGACCCGCGACTGGTATTTTTGTAATATATAAGGCAAAAAGTATAAATAAATACCTTTTCAGGTACGCACCAAGGCTAACACTAACAGAATTGTTTTTTTAATTGCCACTATTACGCCTTGTAAACACGAGTTGAGACCACAGCGGTCGATAATTACGGTTAATGTTTTTATTGGGGAGACGACACTGTCAATTGCAAGTGTGGCCCCGCGGTTCATCAGCGTCACCAGCGACATCGGTGGAAGACAAACGGTAAACCACGTTGAATGATCTTTGCAGTTACCAATATGACTTTACAATTGACTATTGTTATGGCTGATTGGCGTTTCTTAGTATTTTTAAATAATGTTCCCAATTAAATATATAAATATCAAAAACATCGGTATCGTTATAATTGTTCATTACGAATGCTGTTGCAGTATTTACCGCAGACAACCCGTTACCTTTACGGCGAGCGTATGTTTGGGCGAACAACCGTTTAGGTCGGAAACAGTGACTGAGTTTTTCTTATTACTTGATACAAATACGTGCGTAAATGCTCAGCCGAATTCGGAACGGATCGACCAAATGGCGTGGGAACAATGAAATTACATTATAATTCACTGTAAATCTATGTATACAGGGTGATTTTTTTATCATAACCCACTTAATTACTTACAGAATAATAATAATTTAAACAATTTTTTATTTTATTATCTTTAGTTACATATTATTCTTGAATTTTTAACTATGTAATACTTTTTAAGTTCATCCCTCGTGCCTTGTAAGGGGGTCAACTTCGTTTTTTTAAATGGTAACACATATTTTTAATTTAATAAAATGTTTGAGTTTTTAATTTAATAGTAAATGGCATTTGAATTTTTAATATAACTTAATTCGTTTATTAGATATAATCATTTAAAGTTTCAAATTTTTGAGTTAATATATAGGTATAATACACAAGGGATTACAAATACAGGTAGCTAATTGATTTTTTATGACATCGATATTAGCAGGTACACAGCATTGTTATTATCAATGATAGTAAGGCACATTATTATGAGTTTATAAATACACTAACTGACAATACAGAAAGTATATCAATTGATAATCATAATTGATAATAAACAATCCGTGACTGAGACAGCAATGTCATAAAAATGAAAAGTATTATATAGTTAAAAATTCAAGAATAATGTGTAACTAAAGATAATAAAAAAAAAAAATGTTTAAATTATTATTATTCTGCAAGTAATTGAGTGGGTTATGATAAAAAAATCACCCTGTATAATCTTCGACTATGCAATAAGAGCGTAATTGCTACAGAACAATATAGACAGACTCTAATTTACTCTACACCATAAATCTGTTTCCCTAAAATAACTTTACGGTTTACGAGAAATAGAATGACAAGCAACATAGAAATTATGAATGAAACATACGTGGGTTTTTGAAGTTTCAATTATTAACTAATAACAATATTGTTATTACATCTTGTAACGGTTAATAAGTAATCTGACACGTTTTTATGTGGTTTAAAGTTTTATGATTCAAATAACGCATTTTTTAGATTCATGTTTTCGTTAAAAGTTTCAACACTTCCATCATTTTCCAAAAATCACTTTTTATGTAGTTGAAATAGATATTTTTAATTATTTGTAAAGTCAATCGGAAATCATACGAAACATTGTATCTAAAATTTTTAATCAAACTGAGCAAATGTAATTTTGATGCGTATAATCTTAACTCAGTAAGCGTTTACAAAAATGTATATCGTGTATAGATTTAAAATAGACATAAATAATATAAAACGTCAACCAACTTGTCAAATATAGTATTCATATATTCATATTGTAAATAGGAGTCCCAAAAATACATTTATTAATATGGTCGCTACAATGTACGATGTATCGATTTAAATTAAACAAAAAACTTCAATCACATCAATATTTAATAAGATTAAATATTGATTTTTATCAAATTTGTTCATTTTAATAGTTCACCTTTTAACCAGTTAAGATTTATAAAATCAAATAAAAAATTCCTTATTTGCGTATTATTTTCTTTAATTATCTGGAAATATGTTGATAAAAAATATATGTCATTAAAAATGTAAACTACGTACAAATTGTTTATTCGTTACTTAAAGTAAACAGCAATTCAGACTTTCCAAATTATCAAATTCATAACATACTTAATATAATATAAAACAAGCTAAAAAGTTAACTGAACCGAATTCCGGTTTAATACGATTTTTTTATTCTACTATTAACTTATATTATCAATGAGTATTATTTAATGTCATAAACAAGTGCCATATAATTAAAAAGAAATTAATTAATTTATATAAATAAACGGATGTTCTTAACGGGTTTATTCCGTTGAAAAATAATAGCAATATTAACATAATTCTAATAAGTGTATTGCTCACAATTTACTTTTATTTGCTTTGGTAATTAAATACTTGTAGTAATTAATTAAATTATATTTTGTGAACTAATGTCATTGTACAATAGACTAAAAACTTTTTGTACAATTATATAATTTCCCATTAAATACAAATGTTTTCCGTCTATTGTGTTGAATTTAATTTATTAATTACTTTTACAGAAATATTAACGGTGTAATTTGAAATTTCGCTTCATTTAATTCGTAATAAGAACTATGTAAAAAAGGAAAAGCCTGTAAAAGGAACAAACTTGACATGTGTTTTGCACGAAAGTCATTGTTTTCTTCGTGAAAGTGTATGATCTTATAAGTATTTATGGATTTTAAGGCGTTGGCGAATCTCATACGAGAATCTCTGGGTGTTCAAAAACAACAGGTGTAATAAGCACGCATAGTTCATTTCAGTTCGCTTACAAAGTGTAACCACTCGTATACGGATTTGAATACGTGTATAAGAAGAAAGAGGTTATGGATGAGGTCGTGAGACAGTACACTTAAGATACTTTACGCGACTTATTTAAATGGATAAGAGGCAGATTGATAATACATTTGATAAAAATATTAATACTTGTTCTGTTTATTTACACGCGAGTTAAAAAACGTATGTGTTAATTTTCATAAATATATAGGAAAAAATTGTGTTATAACTAATTATCAGAGAACTATAGCCAAATAAAAATATGCAAATAACGGTAGTAAAATTAATTTTTTATTCATAAATAACATTGTACTAAAATAAAACAAAAGTACACGAGTAAATTTATACTTGATAACTATAAAATGCAAAAAACAATAATTTCTGAGTACTGATGTCACACTTTCCTGTACGGACAAACGGTTTCTTGAATCATGTTATGAAGGTACAAGCTAATTCGTTAGACTTAAACGCCCGCTATGTCAGATTATTGAGTACATTTTGTATGCCATTGTTGAGTACCCAAATGTCTACTGAAAAAATTAAAATATAAACGTTATTTATAAATATCTTTATCTTAATTACACGTTGTTGTACAGAAAATATATTCAACTGGCTTATTAATTTCCAACAAACCGATTAAATCACATTGAAGTTGCGTTAACACGGAAGTAAATTCCGACAACAGAAATGTTCTATTCTTAATCCGACGCGATCGCAGTGATCTCGCCACGGTCGGTGACTTTGACAGCCGCAGTTTTAACAGTGACTAAGGACGTGTCCCGAATTCTCGGCACGTACAACCCTAGTGAAGTAAAAATGTTCAACAAACGGACTTAAATAGTCATTATTACTTTATTCCGCGTGAAAACGTCGTTGAGACATTTTGACCGTTTGTTTGCCGGCAATGCAAATGTGGGACACTGAAATGTAGAACTGCTTCACTATTCATATTTAAAAAACAATTAACACGCATAGAGCATCTGGTATTTGTATCCGCAAACAGAGTTGGCACTTATACGATTCCGTCTAGTGATCTCTGACCAGCAATTTCAGGTTATTTTTCTACACCGGAGTCAATATCATGAATAATACTGTGTATCCCACACATAGGTATGTGATATTTTACTCAACAAATGGGTTGTAAATAAAATAAATACGCTGTCGCCTGGGTGGCCAGAAAATCTATGGACTGAGAATTACTATCGCTAGTACTATTAATTAGTACTAGTATTTTCAGAAAACCTAATGCAATTGTCCTGTTCGCCGAGTATAAGACAAAGAACTCATTGTGGTCAATTTATGGATCGTTAACGCTCACAATATTACAGTTGCTATACTTTTCCAAGCCTTGTCCGACGTTTACTATGGCGTTGATATGATTATTGTTAAACTTCACTTTTAAAATAAACATAATGTCTCCTTGATACGCATCGTTTATTTAGAAAATACTAAAAAAAAATCGTCTGGCGTAAGCATATTTCATTTTATCATAATTTGCATCAAATCTTAAAATAAAGAAAATACAAGCACTTGAAAAAATGTTTAAGACTATTATCTACAGAATCTACAAGTATCATTATTACATTTGGTCATTTCTCGGAGGAAATAAACACGACCAATTTAACCTTTTGCAAATCCGCGAGGTATCATAATGGGTACTTTTAACATAATATACTTTCTTATTATTATATATTTTTTTCAAACTCTTAATGGTTTGAAAGTCCAAGTAACGATTAACATAAAAAAATTGCTTTCGTAAGTGATATGATCTATAAGCACATTGTACCTACACACAATGCACTTTGACCGTTATGTTATCCCCATACGATAAACTAGCATAGTCTATTAAACTATGGAACTTAAAAAATATGTAGTCAAAGAAATTAAATATGCACATAAACATATGCATATTAGTCCCGTCCTTGAACTCTATGTTTTTCTACTGACAGTAATGGGCGCATTGTTTGTTTTTGAAATAATAAAACAGCTAAATAGCCTAAGAGAACTGTTCTATAAAAACTTTATGGACCAGTGTTGATTATTTATGATTTGTTAGTATGCATCGAGTCCAATCTTGTATAAAATTAACACACATTTTCCATACTATCTCCAAGTTTATTTTTGAAGTAATTACATTATTAAAGATTAATGTGAACGGATGATGTCACATATATAAAAGAATATATGTATATCTCATTCAAGTACCTTAATTTAAAGTTGAGATATTCATACCTACTATAAAGTATTTACACACATTTATATTTGTAAAGTTCATTAATTTCGTAAGGAAAATGTTTCTAACTTATTATTCTAAACGAAAAAAGTAAATGGCAGATCGAATGACATTTATAAAATTATAGATTATTAAAATGGTTATAAAATAACCACCTGGATATTTTATAATCGCAGAAAGCAACTTATACTTATTGTCTATTACCGTGAAATTAATATAGTTTTCTCGTTTTCGTTGCAATAGTTTATTATTTAATCATTGCCATAAAATTTATTTATAAACCATTTCTTAATTTATGGATTTTATTTTTTACAGATACCGGAAATAAAAGTTGTCCATCGAATGTGGGTGAAACGGTCATAAAACCGCAAGCCCCGGAGTACTATTGTGATGACCGTGCGGACATTGTTGCGTGCGGCCTTGCTTGCCGCTTTAATCGCAGCAACCACAAGTCAGACTGACGACGTTGCTAACGATTTGGCCATAACATCAACCATCGAAAACTTACCAGAGATAGTTGATGATGAGGTAAGAATTCGACATGCATTTACTTACCATTCAACATAACATTTACATTGCATAGAGTCGGAGGAGCACAGCGCTTTTCTGATTGCGTGACCAACGCATGATAACTGGTTTTTGTTTCAACTTTTAAAACATGAATTATAGACCAAAATTTCTAGTGGAATTTTTACAGAAAGTATTTTCCCGTATAATCAACGAAAAATCTACTAATTATATTATATTATAAATTTAATTTTTTTGAGGTGAAATATAGGTTAAAAATTGAAATGCTCCTTTTTGGAATTTCTAGAATTATACATTTAACTACTCCTGAAGCGCGATCATAATACAGGGGAGCAAAATACTTACATGGATATTTTAAAGATCGTATATTAAACTCATAGAATTTTTTACCCAAAAATATACGAAAGATTTTATTGTACACAACGGTAACAAATGAATAAATTGAATGAATTGAATCGCAACAGTTAACGTTTTACGAGTAAATGAAAGATTTAAAAGTGACAACATTCTACCAAAAATTTTTGAAATAATTATAATTTGTATTTCATTTTTTACTCACATTTTCATATTACTCTTAGTACATTGTTCAAAGCGTGTTTGGTATTTCTATTTTATTGTGAATTGTCAACGGTGTTCATGCAGTCATAACATAATAAAATACATCGAAAAAAACTATTAGCACCTTAGTTTAGAAGGATGTCATTATATATAACATTTTTCGCTATGAAAATCAGGTTAGAATTGTTAAAATTTTCTGAAGAAGCTCATAGTCGTTAATAATTGAAAAGTATTGACAGTAGCACGTTATTTTTTTATATATATTTTTTTCGAAATACAACACGTTTACTTTGCCTATCATATATTAATAGGTTATCGAACAGACCAAACCTGAACGTAATCGAGGGAAATTTCCTATAAGTGGGTCAGAAAAACGAAGAACAAACAATGAATTATCACTGTAATCGTCCATATAATTTTCGACATAACCGCAAAATAAACCTGAGTGGTTAGGTTTGGCTTAGTTGAATCGCCTGATCTTTTACTTTCAACATTTCTTATATACACACTTAGTTGTTACTACTGTTTACGTTAAAAAAATAAAATAAATAGCCGAATATCTGTTGGTTTGTTTAAACACTAAATATTTTCAGTCTCAATTAAAAATTTTCGACATTTTAACCTAAACCTAAACTACTGCATACAATAAATATGTATTCAATGCATAACGTTTTATAGGCTACTATTTTTAAAAATCCGTATTGCCGTAATAGTATTATTTTACATTTAATAGTGTGGTAAGTTTAGGTAAACGTCAGATCTTTCCTATAATTCATTATTTAGCAATAGTAACGTGTTCCGTGGATAATTATTATCTCATATAGCTCTTTTTAATAAAATATATATAAGAGATGACGAATTTTTAGAACACGTTTGTGGTATTTAACGACATAAGATGCCCCCAATCAACTAACTATTTTGAGATTTGTTTCATGTCAATGAATATTTTTAATGAGGACCAACTTATTTTAACAACCTTCGTCCATGTTCTTGGAACCATAAAAAATAAAATTGATCACGGTAGAATTTAGCAGATTAAAGCTAATCATCATTTTAACTGCCACCATAGTTTAATAATTATAAATAACAATAATAGAAAATATTATTAACAATAATATTTTTATATTAATAATAATTAATTTGCTAATGATTTTGTTTGAACAATCTTTTGATAAGAATTTTTTGAACTAGAAATATACAAGTACCTTAATATTTACTGATATATAAGATTGACGCGTTCAAACTATAGTTTGATTGAATTCTAAGCGCGTGCGTTAGGTCTTATCAAGATTTAAAAAACTTGCATTTGTTGTTGAAGAAATAAGAACGGAAACGTGATCCGTTCAAAATAAGTATATAGCCGTTCGTGGAGTACTCGACAAAAAACATACTATTATAATAATTTATAATGTGCGCAGTGAGGACTATCGGCCTCAATACCAAGCACCGTTTAATTCAACACATGATTCATTAATTAACGGTTACTTGTTGCATTTTGAATGTCCATTCGTATAAAACGAATAATATGCGTTATGAACAATATTGTTCTTAAGAAACGCATAAAGAAGAAGGCGTGAAAATATTAGATCTGAATCACATACACAGTTAATGGTAACAATTAAACTGTTCACTCGATACTAATCCATATTGATTGACATTAGCTAATGGATAGAACTAAGCTCGTATTATTTGTTCCTCGATTGAATTACGATGAGATTGAATTTGAAATTGGTGAACATTTTGGTTTAAGAGAAAAATGTGCTAACCACAGATGTTACTCAGTAATAGTTCATAAAAAATGAGCAAAGTAAATTGTAAAGTGAAATTTTAGCACCACACATCCTCGTCGATAAGTGCACATTAATAATGTTTAACGGTTTGGACTTTGCATTACGCTGGCCGTTTAACAATATATAACAGTTCGTGTGCGTATCCGCCCTCGCCGGATCTCCTATTGATCCCGGTGCTCACTTGGCGACAAACAATAGACACAGAAAAATGTTCAATCTTAAAAAGAAAAAACATATTACAGTACTGAAGGTCCAATGATGTACAAACCTATTGAGACCATTATGAACCACTGACGATACCCACACGCCTCTCGTTTAATTTTTTTTTAAATAACTACACGACGGCCTCCGAACTGGGTCAATTCCCGCACAACTTGTGTGAACGCGCAAACACAAAACAGTCAAAGAGCAATTTTAACAACATCTTATTCTTAGACTCGTACGTGATCACTTGTTTCGGTGGGTTTGCTGGGCATCAATACTACTACACTCGGCGTACGATACTATTGTACTTTGTTGACCGACTCGAATGCGGCAAGTCGTGGGTGTGAGTTACTAAGTAGTGGCGTATTGAAAAAGAAATTGTTCATAGAGCGGTCGGTATCAATGCGATTTGGTCGATGGATCCATTTATTGATTCAACATGACCCGTGTCATTTGTTAACGCAACGATTTATCCTGTGTAAGCAAATAGAGATCCATGCAAAAAACAAAGGGGGTTCGCGTACAATTTCCTTAAATAATGTCCAAGATTACTCCGGAACGAAATAGTGTGTACAATTGATGGTAGATAGGATAATCCACCGGTACTGGTAAGACGAACGTCTACTATACCGCAAGCAATGCACCATAAAAAAATACACGTGGCATTGCTCGAATAATAGCGGAAATCACTTTGAAGGCGTTAAATGCAGATTTACCGTTGATAGGAACGAAATCAACAATACTTCGGTTTTTTACCGAGAAGTTCTCACGCTAACACTTGATCGCACGTTCACATGAAAACATTAGCAACTCAGCATTTGTATTTAAGCCAAAAAAAAAAAAAGGTTTAGCATTAAAAGGACATCAAATTAGCATAATTACTGAAATGAAAACAATTATCTAGATAAACATCATCTTAATTTTGTTTATGAATATGTTTGCTCACACAATTAATATTTTTTTTGTCAATCATAGTTTTTTCACACGCCATAAACAATATACTTTAATATTTAAAAAACTTAATTCGAAAATTATAAGTATTCAAATTTTATGTTGCAAATAAACTTCAAAATTTATAAAAAAAAAAGTACATTATAGTTTTTTTATTCGACGAAGCATAAATTTTGGTTTGCTAAAATTATATGTCAATAATCACAAACGATTGCTTTTTTTTTTTTTAATTAAAAATTTTATTTCATTATTAACACTATTAAAATACGAATTTGATGATGATCTTGAAAATTATTGCGATATCATCTGTAAAAAAAAACAGATCTATTGATAGGCAGAGTGAAAACCAAGCCTTCGGATATAGAACATCAAAAATAGAAGAACTCGATGTCTTCGAACAATAGACATGATATAGACCATTCGTATTCGGTTAATGAACGTCAATGGAAAATAGAATTCATTTGTGTCATAGTTCATATAAACAAAATGACAACAGAGAAACGATAATATGTAGAGTGAAACAGAAACCAAAATCGTTCCATTAATTTGCTATCGAGTAATGATTAAATTTCAATCCGATCGTTATTGTCAAAACCAGTCTACTTAAATGGAATCTTTTATAAATCATAGTAGTCATATAACTATTATTATCACCGTATCAATCGTTGGTCATAAGAGATAACTGATTGGTCAGCGAAAACAAAACGTATAAATTGTAAGTGTTCAGACTTTGAAATTAGAAATCATTTATATGATTGGATTGGTATTTTATAAAAACCATTTTACTGCAGAGTAATTTTTGCTCATTGTACTCTATTAGGACAAGCTGCATAAATCGAAATCTTCAATATTATACACATCTTTATGTGTCACATGTTATCACTAATTTATGTATATTCTAGTCTTTAAAGCGGATGTATTGACGTCTTCCATTGTACAAGTCAATACATTCGATTTTGCAACTCGAGTTTTGTTCCGGAAAATTGGACCATTAATAATATAAACGCATCTTGTTCCACATTTCCGACTATGCCTTTTAGTCTGGGACTTAAATAAAATTGACTAGTTATTTTTATAATCGAACAAAATGCTAACGATTTTCACCTGTGATTCTTTGACACCGATTGTAAGTAAAAACCATCGGCGATTTTATTCTAATTTTTATATGAAATATTTCACGAATAATGTTGTTTTATTATAATTAATGAATTTGTCACATAAATTTTTATTTAAGTTGAAATAAAAAATGATTTTCACATAAGTTTGATTTAAAAAAAAAAACATCAAATACCATCTGACAACATAACTTAAAACAAGGTAAAGTTATTGCCATTCCATAGTTTAAATAGTATGAATAACAACAAAGTTAAGGGTAACAAGTTTCCATATAGCTGCAAAGAATATCGTCAAAATTTCTAGTAAAAATATTATGAACATTTTTACTGTGATTTTGATTATCTCACTCAGTACATTCAGAGTAACTCGACGTTGTTCCGGCTACTGGTCATAAACGCTACATTTTACATATAAACAAAAACCCGATGACAACAAGATTTGTATTGGAAAAAATTGTATCACAAAAGATTTCTAAGCCAATATTTTAACTACAAAAAATTTGTAACGACATGATTCAAATTTTTACGTCTATCTGCTCTCATTATTAACAAAAAAACAACATCAACCACTCCCGACAAATGAGATCGTTGAGAGATTTAACTGCAATAACAACGAGCAAACAGAAGAATTTATTTTCATATTAGTTTTTCTTCAATGCATTATGGATATTTTACGTCCGGCGCATTACAACCCATTCTATTAATGTGATACCAAAACACATTTAGCCAAGTGTTGCGGCGTTACCGTTGTCCAGTACAATATCGTCGACACTCAAACTCTTACCGGCAGTGCTATAACAGAACAACTCCACAAACGTAAAGTTATTATCCAAATGCGTTCGGTTGTGTTAATGCTTCCGTTAACAAAATAACACTCCAAGACGGACCGCGTGCGCGATTCCACGAAGCCCATTGGGTCGTTCATCGTCCACTGTGTAACGGTCACCTAATTATTATTGTTGCTACTACCGACAGCACTGCTGCTGTGAGATTACAGGCATGTGTGCGCTCGTAATAACACGGTCTAAGTGTATAAGGTACATGCATTATTATAAACGCGCATTGTACTTGTGTGGCGTCGAGTGCGTGCGACAGGATGGTAAGGCGTTCGACCCAATTTCTTCTTCGGCGCGGAAACAATTGGAAACGCATTTTGAACGAGAGTAAATGCACGAGAAAATCAAAATGAAAAAACGCTATGTGTGCGGTACAATAACAAAATCATACCGATCGATTTCGATTATGAGTCCTCTCAACACTGAAAGCGAAAAACCGTCAACATTTTAATTACTCGTGACCCAATTATACGGTCCGTCGACTATGAGGATTTTTTCGGAACATCGGTTCGATAACGTTTTTGGTTGGCAGATGTAGTAAATTTACTCACCCGCATTGTACGCCTACAATATAAACAGATTTTGCATCGTTTCAATGGTGTTAAGACATTATTAATCAATAGATTGAATTAGGACATCACCTGCAGTTTAAAACATAAAACATTGAGTGTTTAGTTTTCACAGTATTCATCTTTGTATTTTCAATTTACTATTTGCACGTATTAATTTTCATGAATTTTATTGATAAAACTCGAAAGTTTCTCTAAGATAAGTAGTCTAATTAAAAACGTACACGACGTGGGTATGTTGTTATCATGAGTCTTGACCTTATTTTAAGTTAACCCTGCGAGTCTTAAGAACCCATTGAATCGGTTATAGTAATTTATATTAAATGCTGTTAATGTGTCGAAGTTTCTAATGAAACTATTCATGGCTTGCTGGTCACATGTTGATGAATAAAAAACATAATGGGAATCGTGCTGGACTTTTTTTACCATATTAGAGTTTTTTATCGTATACATTTTATGTAACAGTTAAAAGAAAACATCAACATATCAGTCGCGTTCCTTATATTTTTCCGTCTCATTGAAATTATTAACATTTGCCTCACTCATGAACTATTAGGATCTTCGATAAACTTAGTAATCAGGCTCTGAAAAACATTTACATTTCACAAGAGCAAATCAAAGCAGCAATTTGTATTTACAACGAGTTTTTATTCACCACTCTGGTCTAAATAAGTTAGCAGTTTAATTGCAAATAATAACATAGTAATCGTCCAATGTCAACATACATGAGATCGACGCTGATTAAATAATCAGATTCGACCAGACAAGCACGTCGCTTTTTTATAATCGCCTAATTATTACTCTTGGATGGCACGCATTATAGATTTACGGATAACATATAGCCGTGTGACAAGCATGAAAGTACCCATGTGTATTTATGTATTGTTAAAAACCATTTAGACGAGAAAATTTTTTTGTCATGTCTTGATTATCTGTAATTTAGGCAATACGATAATAAACGAATGAGTCTAATGTTCTCAAGAAGTTTTCTAATCGTTTTAAAATGTTTTTAAATAAAATATTTGCTCTTTTATGCAATAAAACATTTTCTCACGAACAGTTGTCACTAATTTTATTAAAATTTTTAAATACTTGAGAAATTAAAATAAGATCATTTTCTATTTAAGAAAAACAATTTATATCTCATAAAATGTCTAAAATAATTTACTACTTTCAAAAACAGTTTAATAAATATATCCAGCAAAAGTGTCTAATAAGATATTTCAAGCAATTGCTTAAAATAATAACCACAATTACATTATTAATAAATTAATTAAACCATGACTTGTGCTATGTTCGTATTCTTATGATTGAAATACAAATTACTTTCTACAAAGCGTGAAGATATAGAATTAATGAAAGATGGCCATAGTCAGTACTTTCTGGTGTTATTTTTTATGGCGATTTAAAAAAAAGTTATAACAAATTAACATTTCAAACATATCTTCAATTGAATGTTGATTTAATCAAATAATAATTCGATACACTTTCTCATCAACGACTGGAAGGTACTAAAATTCAAATTCTTTTAGTGTTATTTCGTTTATAATATTACTGTGTTGTGTACAGAAGAATAACTTCTTTATTTTCAACCGTGCAAATATTCTTTACATAAAGAGTTAGACATCAAAATATAACCGCGAACATTTCACACGATGGTGTTAATGATAGATAATGTGACAGGAAGATATTAATGATGCCATTTCACCAAACGTAACTATGCTAGAGCCAGTACAACTACACATTTTTGTTAAATATATTTTAAAGCCAAATGACACGTTTCGTTCAACAGTTATACCATCTACGTGTAGTTCATTTGTGGGTAGAATAATAAGTTATTATTTGTATTAGGCCCCTATTATTGAGTATAGTAAAAAATTGTAACGCAAAAATCTACTAAATTCAAAGACTTGAACGCACGTGAAAAATTTTCCACGTTCCAATTTCTATTACATTATTTATAATTTGAATACGTTTACATATTATAATTTTTTTATTCGCAAGATGATGTAATGTAACGGAATCAAATCGAGACAGCAAAACGGCCACTGATCATTGGTAACAAGAGTATCACATGGAGTGGAACTAATAACTGTGTCCGTTACAAGGGCGAGTGTTATATCTAAAAACTGTATTTTATGGAAAAAATGTAGCCAAAGTTTTCAGTATATCGAGTTTTATATCCATTATATTGTTAATTAGAAAAATTAAATGATTTTATGATTGAGACTGATAAACTGTTAATCAATTTCATACACATTCACCTTAAACTACATTTTACTCTTAGTTATTTTATTATTTACACTACTAACATTAATTTTTTTAATAGGAATCAAATAAATCTGCAAGTCAAGATTTAAAGCCAACAAAATACCATTATTATCCACACAACCAACACATATACTTATTGCCTGAATGTGCTGTCCAACAGGTAATTAAGCATCAAATTGAAAATGTTTTATTTAATATTTTCATTACTAAAATTGTTATATTTATTATTAAATTATTATATTTAATACACGACAATCGTGGGTTAAAAAAATATTTAAAATTTTATTAAAAGATATTAATAATTTGTCGTAGCTTTCGCGGGCACAGTAAACCTTTGATTTTCAAATTTTCTAAATGATGTAAAATTTATTTATTTTTCTAGAATAGTTAATATAATATTACATAGAAATAATTAATAAGATACTTACTTCAAAACCATAAAATTCATAGTTCGTCTGGCTATCAATCAAATTAATCTTATCTTTACAATACTAAGTATAGTTTTAATATATTAGCAACATAACACTGCCTATTTTACTACGTATAAATTATTATTTAAGTGTGTCTCGCCATTTTTAAGGGAAGACGAAAAATACTTCTTACCTAGCGCAATACAATTTTATTAAATATATTAATTAACTTTAAAAATTAAAACGAGTAGCTTTTAATGGATACACATTAGTATCCCATAAGTACCATTACTCAATTTGAAAAGTTATGCTAACTGATATTAATAATTTTGACATTTCCTTGTCTGTGGATAGTTTAGTGTCTGAAGACACTAAACTTTTTATTTATACATTTTTAATTTGACTTTTGAAATGTTTACTTTCTATTTACAGGTCTGCAACGCTGTATATGTCCGGTTAAACTACACACAACCTTTATGTGCCTGTCCTTCCAGATACAAAGAACCATGTTCAGCGTCATTGAATGCAGACGATTTGCACACCACAGAATTGTCAGCTGACAATACTGGCAAAGTGAGTTCATTGCAAACGCTTTTCCAGCGTGATTTATTTTTTACTTAAATTGTGCTCAGGTATCACAGAATATTGTTTATTAGCGCGAAAATATTCCAAAGAAAACAAACAAACGCTTGTCTTATGTCAAACTAAGCAGTACATATAAATATATATATTCAATAAAAACAATAAAACTTTCAATTAGATGTCACTATTTAATGGAGGCACATAGTCGTCTTGTTCCGAATAAGGAGATTTTACTGAGCCCACTTATGTCCTGCTAAAACGTGTACCGACGAGGAAGTGCACAAAATATTAAAAAACAATGTCTTGAAATGATTAATATCGTCGACTAGCAATAAACCTAGATGCTCTAACACGATATTGCACAGTATATTTATAAGTAAAAAAATAATAACAATAACAATAACTTTTTTACATCCACATTATAGAGATTTATTATAAATATAAAACATGAAAAACGATGCTATTCTGTTTGTTAGCTTTCTTTCAGTCATTAAAATATACGTATTATATTATTTCAAATGGACTGACGATAGTTGTGGTTTTTCAATGCTATATACGATGGGCATGATGATAAAGGTCATGTGATGTACGTTTGATCATATTGTTATGGCTTAGACTAGCCGTCCAACACAAACGTCATAATGAAATATTATCTTTTTAAGAAAAACATTAAACGTGACAAAATTAATTAAAATATCTCTTTAGGGTGTTTACATATTAAAACATACCAAAGAAAATATATATATTGTATATATAATATAATATGTATTATAACATATATATTTAATGACTTAATTTGTACAAGAATGACATACAGTAAATATTAAATCTAGAAAAGGAGTCTCTTACCTTTTTAATGTCTGTTTGTTTATTTCATTTAAATGTAATTCATAGCCGTGTCGAGTATAACATACTTAATAGATTTATTTCTTAATTTATAATATTACATTTCATCATAATATCATAAATCAGAATTAGAACTAATAATTTTTTTCTTTTTAATCGCTCTATAAAACGTTGATGTAAATTAGATACAGTTAACTTCCACCAATTAATAATTACTTTACGTCAACGATGTGAAACATCTGCCAGATTTCTTCACTATGTAAGAGTTCTTATGTTCTTGTTCCTGTTTAGTTCTATGTTCTTCATATCGAAAAAATTAAATTGCCCATAAAATTAATTTTGCATAATTCATAAGATGGTCAATATGAAAATATAAGTTCAAAAAACTTCTGAAATATGTGTTAGTTTGACTTAATTATAATAATTATAATTTTGCGATTATCGTAAAACATATTCAAAAATATAAGTATTCAAATTTACAAAAATATGTTAACATTTTTAGATGAAATATAAAAACTTTAGTCGTAATATAATAGTAAAATTACAGTGAAGACCGTATTTCATTCAAAATTAAATTAAATTAATCGAAATGAAAAAAAAATAAAATATTAAATAAATTAAAATTTTTTTTTTTAAATTTCATTTTTTTTTTTTTTGCATTAGAAAACTGGCTATGGGAAACTTAAGATTGTCAGTAATGTAGGTGACCTTTTTCATTTAGTTATTTCAGATAAATTACCGAAGTCGGAAAAAACTAAATATCATCTTTAGCAGTGTAAAATAAACGATCGTGAAAAATTGAACATTTCTGACAAAGATATTTTAATTTAGGCTTAACATAAACTTGATGATAACGATGAAAAAATTGCCAAAACAACATATATGTATAGTTTTATTTTAAATCAATATAGATAACTTGTTTATTAAAAAACTTACTTAGTATCATACAATTTTAACAATTTGTGGAGAACTTAACACGTCCATAAAAAATTGTATTACATATGAACACTGCAATATCATTCTGTTAGTTAAAAACATACAACTTTGTGAAATTTTTTGTTTTTTAAGATTGATATTCTTACTTTTAGTATGACCGAGTTGTTTAAACTATTTATAAAAAAAATAATAATAAGTTCAGAACACACAATTTTTTCTCAAATCGACCCATATTGAAGTGCCATCCGTGTACCGTCATTTGAATTGCTAATAGTATGATTATTATTTACACAATATAAACTTTTCTCTTGGTTTAGCAAACTTGCGACAATCATGTCTTTTGTATAAAATTGTTAGACTTTTCATTTCTAATACATTTAAACTACTTTTTGCCTTAAGCTATACGCTTAAATACACTTCTGTGCTTACTAAAGAAATACATACACAAATGGTCACGAATAATCGTGTACATATTATTATTATTATTATTTATTACTGATGTTATCGTTATTGACACAGTACGTGTGTATAATACGGAAACGCTCTTTGTTATTTGATTCCATATGCATACATTTCATATCACATTCATTAAAATTCAACTGTCGATGATTTTACATCCCTTATTTGACACATACAAGTTCTGAAATAATTAAAAATAACAAATTAAGTACAAATTTCACATTCGTTTTTATCATAAATTCATTTGGTTGTAACCGAATTAATGAAACATATTTTATTTAATTAATAATTATTAATTGACAAGAAATGTTTAAAAAAAATAATAATAATAACTATTGAAAAATACCTTACCAATTTTGGAAATCATTTAATTTTTATTTACTGTCCTCAGAAGTCTTCAACATGGTCGTGTTATAACAAATTCATAATATTTTATTATTTATACACGAGCTATAGATATTCAGTTAATCTTCTCGGTAACTTTACTGTTAAATTATTTTACTTATAAAAGAAAAAAACAAACCCAGCACAGGGGGGTCGTGGCACAGTGGTGATGTGGCATAGATGGATCAAGAATAATGATATCTGACAGTGATTAAAATCACTATAAAAAAAAAACGCTTCGATGCAAATCTTTAGATAGTGTTTAATTTTAAAAAATTGGTGGATTATTCCAAAAGCTACATGATCTGCTAGTTCATTATTAATATCCTAATTAAGATAAAGTATGTAGAATGAAAAAGGGATTATTAAAAAATATTATTTCTCATAAAAAAATAATGTTGATCCATACACTTTTCAATATGTCATAGCATTATAAAGTTAAAAATGTAAAAAATAAAATCGAGAATTTTCACACAATAATAGCATTTGGTAGCCATTTTCACCGTGAAGATAAAATAAAGTCCGAAATTTTTTTTTCGCATAATAAAGTAGATTACATTAGCTTTAATTTAAGATATATATAAAAGTGTCAGACTTTCCGGAACACTTTCAAAATTTAAGTTGAAAAAGTAAATTTTTTGTGAAAAAGTTGTCATTTTAAATCCCCCCCTGTGGGCAGGTAAAGGGTCAGATATAAAAAAATTATATACCAAATGATAGGTAAAGACATCATGCATCTATAAAAAAAAAATTATATTGATCCATACATCTTTCAAAAAGTTATAGCATTATAAAGTTAAAAATATAAAAAAGAATTTTTTTACAAAAATCGTATTTTTTTTATTAAGTTTAATGTCTGTTTTCACCATGAAGATAAAATAAAGTCCGAAATTTTTTTTTACCATAATAAAGTATATTACATTAGCTTTAATTTAAGATATATATAAAAGTGTCAGACTTTCCGGAACACTTTCAAAATTTAAGTTGAAAAAGTTCTACTTTTTACATGCATTTTTTAGATTTGAACGCCCCTCGTATATAGGGAAATGGTCCGATTTAAAAAAATAGTATGTCAAATGAAAGATGTATATGAATACTACTCCTCATAAATAAATTGTACTGATCCATACATTTTTCAAAAAGTTATAGCATAATAAAGTTAAAAATGTAAAATACAAAATCGAAAATTTACACACAAAAATAGCATTTGGTAGCCATTTTCACCGTGAAGATAAAATAAAGTCCGAAATTTTTTTTTTTGCATAATAAAGAAAATTACATTAGCTTTAATTTAAGATATATATAAAAGTGTCAGACCTTCCGGAACATTTTCAAAAGTTAAGTTGAAAAAGTTGTCATTTTAAATCCCCCCTTGTGGGCAGGTTAAGGGTTAAATTTATGAAAAAAATATACCAAATGAAAGGTAATGATATTATGCATCTATANTTAAATGATAGGTAATGACATCATGCATCTATAAAAAAAAGAATTATATTGATATGATAAAAAGTTACGGCAATTTTTAGTAAAAAAAATTGAAAAAATTTCGAAAATTAGCGATTTTTAAATTTGTAATTTTTTTGGAGGTTTCCCCCTTTTACGGGGAACGAGGGAATTTTTTTCAATTTTTAAGGGTAATGTCTTCGACTAGATACGATTTGTGATCTTTTGACGTATC